AATCTGCTCGATGGATATGACGGCTGGAGAACTCCTCCGAGGGAGGACGACCATCCCGAGTTCCTTGCTCGGGAAGTTGAGGACGTCTTCCGTTCCTATTGCGCGGGCCTTTTGAGGTCAGAAAGTTTCGACCTCAGGTCTTGTGTAATTGACCCGGAACCGGCGCCCAAGGCGGAGCCGGCTCCCAAAATGAAGCCACCTCCTCCATCTCTGTCGGTCAGTAAGGGCCTTCCTAGGCGATCGGCTCCTGCTGTACATACTGGGTCGGCTCACACCGCCAAGCGTCCAAGAGAGGCTGGCGGTGGCTCCACTGGGAGCGTGCAAATCCCAGGGCATTATTTCGGCAAAGCCCGCACAAAGGAACCCCCTGTCCAACCCTCTGAACCGCCAATGGGCGAGGCGGGGGGGAGCACACAGCCATCCGCAATGGATGTGGATAAGGAGGGGAGTAAGGGCGATGAGAGGAAGAGCAAAGCGGCCAATGAGGCTGCTGTAGCGTCAAAGAGCGCAAAGCCGCACCCGGCGAAAGCGTCGCGTCCCGAGGCCCTAAGCGGCTCGTTGGACGTGACACTAATCAGCGACGTACGGGAGCGTGATCGGGATATTTCCGATGACGAGTTTTCCCCTACGAACGTGTGCATGTTCCCAGAATCATGGGAGGGCGTAATGCCGACCTCCGTAACCGAAAAGGCCGGAGGATTTGAGCAGTTTAGGAGCGAGCTCATGAGGATCCAGAGAGTCCTGGATTCTCCGGCGTTGGTCGACCTTGGTAAGATCGATCTGGACGCTCTGGGCGAGCCGCCCAAGGAATACGTCTCGGATGAAGATCACGAGAGTCACGTAGACGATGATGGGATGGGCCCATATGTGGACAAGTTCTCATCAATGGGTGACCGCGACCTAGTGCCCTCAAAGCAGGAGCCGCCTTATTATGAGGCAAAGGCGTGGCGTACCACTGAAGAGGAAATTGAGAGGATGAAGAATCTTTTTCCATACTTTCGTGCCGAAAATTATCGGCTTATGTCAGCGAGTACTGGTCCCATAGGTACCAAGTCGCACGTACAGGGCGTCCTCCCAGCAGGTGCGTCGCTAGAAGAGGCACTGATGGCAAAGCCCGGTGTGTGCCCGATTTCGAGCACCTACAACCTCACATACGAGGGTGAAGAGGTTGTGATTGATGCACAGAGCGGGATAGCAGGCAGAATCGCCTGTCCTGCCGGAAACGACATCTTCCATTTTTTCCCCGAGATTAGGGATGTGTCGGCGATGATTGGGCGAAGCTCCAGGGAGTCGCAAATGCTGCTAGAAATTTTGTCGGGCAACACTGACCCAACGCGGTTGAACGTGAAGCCCGGTGAGCCGGCCCCCTTCTTGTGTGGGACGGTTCCAGACATTCTGGGAGGTTGGATGTCGATGACTCTAATCTCAACGCTCTTTGAGGCCCTATACGGGATCCATAAGTGCACGAGTGTCGAGGTGGCGACCTGGGCGGGTGCTCTCGCGAAGGAGAGCCCAGCGTACCCTCCAGTCGAGCTCCTAATACGGACAGTCTGGAGGACAGATGGCACGACTGTGCGCCCGAATGAGGTGCTTTTTGCGCGGTCCACCCTAATCGGGAGGGACGTGCCGTTCAAAGTTTTCAAGCGTTGGGCACTGCGTGACCGGACGCCTATCGGGCCTTTGCTTAGGCCGATGGGAGCAGCAGAAGTCCCTTATACGGGATACGTGCTGCTGACGATGGCCGAGTATCGGTCCGCCCTCAAAACGAGGTGCATCCGGAGGCCCGGCAAATTCGCCATCACGGTTTTTCCCATGCGGCCTGAGCAGGTCTGCAGAGGGGAGATCATGATTGGGATGGAGGGCGCAAAGGTGCCTTTCCTCAAGTTGCCAAGCCCCAATAATGAGGGCGAATTTTATGTTGACGATCGCGTCAAATACATGGACAAGCGCCATGTCGTCGTGGCCGTTGACCTGAAGTGGATGGCCGTCGAGGAAGCCGCCGGCATCTACAAAACCCGACGCGGTTTGATCGCTGTGCGAGAGGAGATACATGCGCCATTCTGGCGCGCATGCTATCTGCACCAGGAAGGGGATGTAATATACATCCGTCCCTGGGCGGTCCGTGAGTTGAATGTTCAGGGACCGCGGAGAGGGGTGTCATTTTCATGGGACAATGCTCCCATGCATGACTACCTCGGTGCGGTATGGCACCATTCTATGCAATGGTTGCCATCTGCCGATTTTCTATCGTGAATGGGTGCCAGGCACCGTCCGCTCCCTGGTTAAGAATGGGCAGCCAGTCTGGCTAGACGGACTCAAAGCAGTCCGTGCCAGCAGCTGGTATGAAGGGGAGACCGATGCGTGGGCTCCTCTCATGGCATCGGTAAACCCGATCCGCGAGGTGGTCAGCTGTATGATCTCCGGTTTGCGCTGTGCGCCGCACCTTGTGCACAATCCCAATGCGGATGTTGTGCAAGTTGCGTTTCAGGAGGTTGCAAAGGTCACCTCAAGGGACACTCACGCTTGTGTGCGTGCGAGTGATGAGGCTCTCGAGCGGTGGGTAGCGAAACAGCTGCTCATCGAGGAGAGCAATACGGGCGTCCCAATTCCCGACAATATGTCCGTCATTACATATTTGATCGATCACCCGCAACAGGCGGCGCAATGGGGTCGTCATATGACGAGAAAGGGCAGTCTAAATTCAGCATTTGCCCTTTACCTCTCTGTGCATATTTTTGATGCCTACCGCATCGGAATTGAGGACGGATATTTGGTTCCGCTGTATGGCCTAGGCGCCTCGCGAGCGGACATCATAATGTCATTGGTACAGGCTGAGCGACGCCTCGCGGACTTCAATAGTGAAGATCCGAGTTTCGATGCCTCCACTGTTCTTGATTGGTGTATCGACTCTTTGCGGGCCAGTGGTGGATCCATCACGGCCCCAATTGAGTATGCTGAGGCATACATTGATGTCGAAGACAACAAGGTTGACATGGTCCCCGCTGCACGGCGCGATGGCCAATGCGCCATTGTTTTTGCTGACCCGCCAGCTGGGAAGCACCACAGGCGGGCAGCCACTCCTAGGGGAGACCAACGGTCTGCTACCCCGCGACCTGAATCCAGGTCAAAGGGAGATCAGCAAAAGGGCAAAGCCCCTGCGCAATCCTGGCCCAAGGGCGGGGGTCACAAGGGTGACCAGTTTCCAGGAAAGGGTCAAGGGTGATCAGTACAAAGGTAAGGGTGGCCAATACGGCTACCAACAAGGGCAGTTCGGTCGTGGCGGATCAGCCAGATCGAGAACTCCCACTGGCGGGTATCAGCCTGATGCTCGCGGGTCGGGGTACAAGGGTGCTCAGGCAGCCCCTTTCCCCTTCCCGAGTCCGATGTACCCCGCTTTCCCAACGGGAGGGTACATGCAACAGCCCATGGCTGGTATGATGCCACAAATGTGGCCTGGCGCAATGCCGCAGGGTTGGCAACCGCATATGCAGGGTGATCCCCGCGAGTTCGAGAATCCGAACTCGCCGCAACCCCTACCTGGGGTGCGGATGATGAGTTGGCCGAGACCGTGCCTCCTCCTCCTGGGGACTGGAACGTCAACAAGGGGAGGGGACGGCACGGCGGCGGACGACATCGGTGATACCTGATGTCCGTCTGTGTGCTTTGCATGGCGGCGCCAACGCGCGCATGCTTTCATTCCGGAATTCACAAAATGGACTATGCTCCTTGTAGTATTTCTGTGCCTGGGCTATTCGCCATTTCAGAATTCAACTGCGTGCGTAGCTGAGCGCTATTCGCGCAAGCTGCGATTACCTGTCAGGTGTGCGTCGCCGCAGCAAGGCAGTCACTCTCGGCGGCGTCTATGGCCGCTGGTGATCTGTATCCACCTGCACCGCTGCTGCTGCTGGTGATGGTGCTCATCAAGGTGCCGAGGTGAGGATCACGGATGCCCAGCACCGCTGCCGGTGATGTCCTACTCGGACCTGGACCGCGGATCGCTGCTGGTGGTATCCACGGCGATTGTCCTTGAGTGATCGCGCGCCTAGACGGTGCTAATTTATAACCAAGGCTCATTGGTCTATGCACCATGTTTCAACCAACTGGCCAACGCGCCTAACCATATAATTAAAAATTAAATCCACTTGAATCAAATGGTTCAATGTGGTTGCAGTGCAAATGATAACTCTTTAGCTTCATGCCGGTCATCCCGAAGTTGAATCTTTGTTCTTTTCCTTCTTTTGTTTCTCTTGTTTGATTTGGCTACCGGCGAGAATCCGCCCCATACCCGTAATTCGGGGTGGTGGCGGGATCCGGGCACCAATGAGTGCCCGGGTATGGGGTCGCGAACCCTGGTAGCCTAATCGGTTTTGTTTGTCTTGTTTGTTGCATTTCAACTTCAATATGGCCTATGCGCCTTTCCAAATTCACTCCTTCTCTTTGTACAGTCGAGGGGGGTGTTTTTGGGGGCATGTACATTTATCATAGTGTATATCATTTCCTGCCAATGTCCAACGCGACATTTGGCTCAAGCTTTTCACCGCGTCGGACTCCGCCGCCATAACGGCATCGGCTGCCTACGGCGCCGCTACTCATCTCGGTCTTGCAAAAGATCGGGCTGAGGTTCGCGGCGGTAGGCGCGTTCTTTGGTTGTGGGTCGGTTGTTTGTCTGGTGGTGTGCGCTCTGTTGCTGCTGCTCCGCTTTTGCTTGGTTAATTGCTTTGCTCGCTTGCTTGCTGCGCTTGCCTGGTTGGCTGCGCTGGTCCCCTTTCCTGTTTGGGTTTTGCGGTTAAACAGGATCCCCCGTTTGTTATCTGTGTGGTTCATTGCCAGCCGAGGGCACCACTTTGCCCTTGGGACTGGGGGGCTTAAACTGTCTCTTCTTGTTGGTGGGTTAGGGCCTGTTTATTCTCTCCCGAAATACTGTTTCAAACCCTTTCGCAGAAACGAAAGGCGCATTTCTGGAAGCTTGGACTAGCCTGTCTTCAGGGTGCGAGAGCCAGGCCAGCAGCCTCCGCAGGCGCTGCGCGTTCCGGGGAGCCATATCCGGCCGCGGGCTCAGGGAGAAGTCAACATCCATCGCCTGGGTGTGTGTGGCGACTGGCCCTTCTACATGGCTGGTATCCTTTCGGTTTCTAGGGCATGCTGACCACACCGCATTTCCCTGTGTGGTCCCTTGCTTCGCTTTGGGTGGGTGGCTTGCCTACCTCACTGTAGTATCCTGAAAGCAAGCCTCTAAGGGGCTTTGCTTGAGGTTTCTACCTAGGGGGGGGTGGCAAGATTGTGAGCTAGATTGTGAGCTGGATTGGTTTGTCACCTGCTCGTGCTACACACTGTTTGGCGGAATTGCTTGTGAGTGCAATTTGAACATTCCTGTTTCGCAAGCTTCGGGGGTGGGGGGGGGGCATGGAAGACACCTCTGTTAAAGATTTGGAATTACAAATCAAACTGGTGAACAAGGCACATAGGCTCTTCTGGCCGCTTTCGGTCCTTTCTTCTACGAGGCCCATGTGCCAGCCGCTGGCCTTCTTGACGACAAGGCCTGGGACATTACACATTCGGTCCCAGCCCCATGGATGGCGTGGTTGTGTGCTCAGAATAAACCTATTGGTTGACATGCTAACCCTGGCCTTGCATCAAGCACCTTCACTTGGATTTGCTCCCACCAAGTCACAGTTGCATGTGGCAGGAGGCGCGCGTGCAGCAAGAAGTTTTTGGGGTTCCTTGCCCTCAAGGAAGAGTTGTTCTTTCCAGGAGGCGTTTCGAGTTCTTGTCCTGGATCCCAGTGTTTGATATTGAGAAGGTATCATATCATGTGTTTAACATGAGCCACAAGCACTTGGGCAAATTGCGGACTCTAAATAGTTTGTCGGACATATGTGTTGTCGCCATTCGGCCATTCGGCTGTATTCAACCTGCTTTCGTCCCTTTTTGTTTACCCCTCACAATATCTTACGAATATAGCTCCCGGCACCCCCACCCTCAGGACAAGCCAGCCCGCAACCAACCACAAACCAACCCTAAACTAACCCTAAACTAACCCTAAACTAACCCTAAACCAACCCTGAATACACCCGCCTCCTCGCCTCCTTGCCTCCTCGCCTCCTTGCCTCCTCGCCTCCTCGCTCTGCCCAAGCGTCAGGTGGCTGAGCTGCTGGCCACCGCGGGGGTGGTGTCGAGGGAGCGGCAGCTGGCGCTGGAGCGGCGCCAGGGGAAGATGGAGATCAAAATCCGGATGCAGCAGGCGAGTGGCATGTGGCGTGCGGAGGGCCTGGGGAAAACGATGTGGACTACGGCAAGCTCATGTTTTCCATGTGCACGCATGCAGATTTGTGTGAAGGCGGCTGAAACCTGCATAGCGCGAGTTGTTCTTGGATAGTTTGTCGCGCCCAAAGTTCATTAGATGCCATCCAACATCTGGTACTTGCGCACAGTGCAATTGTGGGGGCACACGGTGCAATTGTGGGGAGCAAGGAGGCTTGTGCAAGCCGATGGACATCCATGCCATCAAAGATGCGGTAGGCGCCAGGCATGAAGCAAGCTGCAATGCATGCGCCTGCGCAATCCCTCAGCGCCGAGTTTCACTTGTAGGGTCTCATACTATGGGGATGCGGGGGCCCAACGTGGATGGTATGAAGCCGTCCCAAGCACGCACCCAGCATTGGCAGAGGCTGCGTTGCATCTCAGAGCTGCTGGTGGCCTGTACATGCTGCACCGCTGGCGCCGCCGCAATGCCTCTCGCCGTGGGACGGTGGGCCCCGAGCTCACGGGGTTTTATGCTCATGCGTTGCGCATGTTCATAAAGACATTCGGACCCATTTCTAAGAAGGTTCTCAGGTTCTTAGCATGATTTTTGCATCAGACAGGTTATTTGCAACCATCATGCGTTGCCCATAGCCATTTCGTTATTCCCGGCCACAGAGGGCCCGGAGGTATGATCGCCTTCGCGCATTGAACCACCTCTCCACATGTTGCCTCGCTTGCCCTCTTCCAGGGCCCTTTCTCGGATTCTTTACCCAGGCATCAGGTCATTCCAATGATGCGCGACGAAAGATTTCAACGCGTTCAAGTTCAAGTCACAGGGTTGCTTGTTTGCATCATTTGGGAGTTAGTGGCTGGGGTGTAGTGTGAGCCAACCTCTTGGTGTGACCCCAGTGGATTGACGACCGCCAGTTATAAGTCTTTGGGGTTGATGGGGCCTAAATTCTGGGAAGCCACTGCAAGGCGCACATGTCTGCAAAGGCAAAGAAGGTGCGCGCCTGCCTGAAGCTGCAGTCGCATTGGCGGAGCCTTCGGCGATGGGCTGAGATGCTTCATGATGCAGTAGTGCCGCAATGAGAGCGCAAGACTCGGTGTTGTGACCTGCATGTGGTTTCCGTTAAGAAGCGTCGTCCAGTAGCTCGTGAGTATCGGCCCCATGCCCCGAATGTCCGTGCGCCAAAAAGTGTCTGCTCCGAGGTTCCGCCGCTTGGTAGAGGAGAGGTTTGGGCAGCGCCGCCTTGCCCGGCTGCAGCTTCAATCCTGGCGCCAGCCTCTGATAGGGGGTGAACATCTTTGGGAGTGGAAGGGCCGAAGCAATGTTATTGGCTGCCCTTCTATCCGACCACTCTCTTCGGGCTCGTTTCTGGGCCCGACTTGGTGAATTCAAGTGGGTCTTTCGATTCTCCCTCTGCCCAGACCGTGTGGACCCTCTGACTTGATTTTGACACCTTTAATGGCCAGCATTTTCCACGAGGTTTCGGGGCATCTTCGGCCGCCGGGCCGGCGTCAGGAGCGTCGAGTCTTTGCGTGATGGATTCAGCCTTGCTTGTCCATCTCAGCGTATTTGGACAGCATGAAAGTTGCCAAAATATTGCCGAATTATTTGTCTTCAGATATGTACTTGCAGCTTGATTGCGGGCCAAGGCCCAGGAATGCCGGCCTTTCGGCGGGGAGGGCTGTCACGGGGCTGTGCAAGGACAAATGCCTCTCATATACAGCACGTGTTCGTTCTGCAAGGCTCACTGGCGCTTTCAATTTTAGTGAAACGTGGCACTGGTTACGAGCGTGAGCCCACTCTCGTGCCTATGTGCGAATCCTAACCCGGTTTCGTCTAACTCGATGCCATTGATTGGTCAGCTTGCCACCATAGATCTCAAGAAGGCAACCGACCAAAGCAAAGCATGGCAAGCAAAAAAGGCTGGCAAATCGGCAAACACATGTGGAATGCAATTCGGCTAATCTGAAGATGCACTTTTGTTTGTTTGATTGTTTGTTTTGTGTGTTTGTCCGTTTGCTCTTGTTTGCATGTGCTGTGGTGTGTGAGGAGGTTCCGGGCGCTGCGGGCCTTTGGGCGCGTGGGGCGCCTCGCCCATGCTGCGGCGCGTTGGCTGCGGCGCGCCCGGCGCTGTCTCGCAGCCGCAGGGTGCATTGGCCGCAGCTGGCGGGGCTGCCGGGCACGGAGAGAGGCAACCCGCTCGGGTTGCTGTGGCGCAAGCTTTGGTTCATGAGTGAACTTGATCCTGATCTGTTATACTGGGATTACTAGGGTTGCAACCGGCAGTTGGTTTTGCTAGAGTCAGTGTTGGAGGTGGATTTGATTGAATGGTGATTCGAGCTCTTGGATTGGCGGATGGTCGGTTGAATGTATATGGGAGTCGGGCGGCTTTGCAGTTCTTTCTGCGCGTGTTGCCATGAAAGCACAGGCAGCTTCAGCACCAGTCACGCGCAATCCCGCCACTGCCATTTGCTTGCACCCTCGGCCAGACGGTTTGAAGTGCAGGGTTAAGCCTTCAGAATCACAAAGGTGGAATGGCAAAGCTCTCGACCCGCAGGTCCTTACTAAACCGATCATGTGGACCAAAGATGAAGCAGCCTCAGATTCAATGGGCCATGGGCGGGTGTCCCAGACAGGGGCTTCACTTTCCGTTGGGGGGGGGGGGCATTCTTTTGACTCAGCACCAGGTTCCGGTTCCCAGCCATGCCCTCGGACTTTGATCATGTTGGGTGCTTTTTGTTCCCCCTACATAGTTATTCCCAGCAGGTTCTTAAAAGTGAAAGCCGAATATCCCAGCCGCAGTTTTCCCTCGAAAGGACCGAATGCTCCTCGAATCGACTTGCCAGTTGGCCGTGCGGCGCCTGGGCCTGCGGCTGCTCCAGGCGGCGCTGCGCCAGAGCGTGGCGCGGGCGCGCGTGCTGGAGCTCCACCGGGCCAGCGAGGCGCGAGGTCGAGGACGTCGTGGGCTCGTGGCCGGGCACGCGGAAGGTGTGGTCCGGTCCTCGCTGTGCCTTCTTATGCCCATGGGTCCCAATTCCCACAAAAATAGGCTAAAATGGGTGGTGAATTCACCTAACCCAAAATGGTACCATTGGTTTTGACCCACAGCCTTATGATTTTGATGGGAGGACATGGAGGCGATGGTAGGACCTAGCCGGACCAAACAAGTTGGGATGGATCAATCTTGCCTGGGAGCGTTCAAGGGAAAACTTGAACATATTTCCGGTGTGATCGGAGAACATGGCATTTTTGAGGTGTTTCTCCCCGGAGTTTTTGTGTGCTTTTTACATATGCTTTTTTGGGATGCCTGCATTTTGTTCCCCGAGACGAACCCGTATTGTTTGTGGAATGCTTTGAGATGGGCTGAGTTTTGGATGGCAGCTCATTTTGCCAGGTAAGATTTAAGTGGCACTTGCTGCATGTGGGTCTTTGCCAGGTGATTCAGGATCAAGTGCGTGACTTCCTGAACCGACAAGCCGTCAAGCGCAGCCCGGCACAATGGCAAAACGGGGCTCTTCAGGGTTTCAAGCCGCAGAAAGGATTCACTTGCCATATATATCCGTTCCTGAGGCGTGAAAGAAATGCAGAAGCGCTTGGTCGAGATGCAGGCTATGGCAGCTGAGATCGTGAAGCAGGCGGCTGCTCTGAGACCTGAAGGAGCTCAGCGGCTTGGATAGAGCCAACTGGTTGACGGGCTTCATTGGAATAGGGGCTTGGACCCTCAAAGTGAGGCCAGAGACGGACGCTTGGGACCGGGACACCGAGAGCCTGAGCCTTGCGGCAGCTGTAGATTGATAGCTCTCCCTTCATGCCCTTGCGGGTCAAGCGGCAAGCGGTCTGTGCCAAAGGCACAGATCCAGCCTTCAAAAGTATCAGGCTTGCAATGGGGGGAATGCTTGGGCAAAGGTGGGGACAAGGCCTCTCTGCAGCTAGCTTCAGGAATCCATCGCATTGAGCAACGCTGCAGCGATCCAGAGCTGCCTAGCTGCAGATTGGGGCCCATCCCACAACACGGATGACCGCGCATGCATGGCTGATTTCCTGTCCCAGGCTTGAATGCCACCCAGCTTCTGGCAGCAACAGCCTTCGGCGAGATCCTGGAGCATTGGGCGGTCGCTTTTTGGAATGTGGGTTTCAGTTGCAGCTTCAAGTTTGGGTCATTTGAGCGAGGCTCTTGCTAGTTGTTCACCCCCGCTATGACTGTTTTGGCACACTAGTCGATGTGGGCGATCACGATCCGTTCAAGCGTGCTACGGATGACATGGTGCCAGCGCGGCGAGGACCTGTTTCAGGGCGACGCCGCGAAGCTGCTGAAGTACATGAAGGTGGCAAGGGCACACCATTTTGCTGCCACTGCATCACGTAACTGAGCTCGAGAGCCGCTCACCCAGCATGGCCTCAGGTGCGAGCAATGCGAGACCATCCCTCGGAGCACTCGGTGCTTGGAATCAGGGATGAGCCTTGGAGCACTCTGAGGGGAGGGGGCGTGGCATTATGGAGGTTGAGCAACGCGTCCTTGAGGCCAAGATGCAAGGGTCAGACTGCTTGTCAGTGCCTGCCTCAGGACATTGATTCTGCACAACCGGCACCTGCTTCTACGGGTGCCTTGGCTGGAAATCTGGCGCGCGTTGCTGAGGGGGAGGGGGGAAGGTTTTTTTTTTTTTTGCATTTGCAGAAAGATCACGTTGAGCTCAAGCCTTTCGGTTCCTGTATGGGTGTGTGAGGAGGTTCAAAGGGATCAGACGCGACATCAAGATGGCAAGGAATGAGCTGCCTGAGGTGCATGAGTGGTATGCTTTGCGGCCTGCGCGGCTGAGAGGAATTGCTTGCCGCTTTTGAGAAAAACTGGTGGCTGCTTGCTGGGTAGCTCCTGTGCCAGGCGTGAAGGATCCCAAAATCGAGGGTGGATGGATCGCCGTTTGGGCTGCTGGGCGGCTGAGGGTCACGTAGCGGAAGCCCGGCGCGAACGGATTTCGAGGCTCAATCTCCCTGGGCTGAAAGAGCCGAGCAACACGAACCAGGATTCTCAACAAAGGAATTTTGCAAGGTACAAGTTGTAAGATAAACTAAATTTGGACTTGGATTGATTTTGGATAATGCTTGGAGGTTGGTTGCATTTTTGCGCTAATCATATGTGTAGATAAAGCGTTGAGGGCTTGGGGCGCCTTTTTCTGAAATCCAAACAGGTATCCAACCTCCAGAGGCGATCGACTTCCTTGGGAGTCGCAGAGCGGCGCGTTGGGCGCCCCGCTTCGCGCCATGGAGGATTTGGAGGGATATCGGCAGGCGCAGGCGGCCGAATGGCAGCAGGCGGCAAGAGATGTCGACGTGGCGAGATTTTAATCCGGGGGGGGGGGAGTGAGGGGGGGGGGTGGTTCTCAAAAACGGCAACCCCTTTTTTTGGAGGTTCGTGGGTCGTCGCGCTTGAGTCGCTCACCCCCTTCAAAATGGCTTGAAAAAAAGAACAAAAAAAACAATCAGTTTTGGGGGTTGGTTCACGGTTTTGGCTGGTGCAGGGTTTTGCTTGTCCCCCGTGCGAGTCAGGCCCGGCACCCCTTTGAGTTGGAGGGCCTGGTGGATCGGGTGGCCTTTATGACCCGCCTCGGGCCAGGCGCAAGTTGCCTCTCCGGTCATTCGGCATGAGTGTCAACAATTCAACGCAATCATGAGGGACGAAAAACGCAGCTTGTGCATTCCCTGGCTGAAAGTTCGGGAAGTTTAAAGGAGTGGCGGAGAGGGAAGAACGGCACACACGTCCAATGTGGTACCGCCGGGGCTTTCGATTGTCATGCCAGCTGTGTGCCTCTCTCGCGCTTGCGTTGGCTCTGGGTGCTTCTGTGCCAGCATCGAATCAAACCAGCCCCAGAGCTCCGAGAGATTAGAAGCCATGGCGCGCACGATCCGGCGGCCCGCCCTGCTCCCCACCGCCGTGCCTTGACTCAAGTTGGAGGCTTCCTGGGGTGATCATTGGCAGCGCGACTTTGCGGAACTCTCATGAAGTGTTTAAAGCGACCACAGTGATCAGTCCATCCTTTGCACTCAAGAATTGTGGTTTGCAGATCAGTTGTTTGCAGACCTGAGTTGGTTGGCCTGTTTGAAGATGGAGTTGCTTAGCCCAAGCAAGTCCTCGTATTGTGACACCTGTGCTCATTCCGCCCTCAGCGAGTCAACCCAAGTCGCAGCCCCCACCATCCAAATCACCGCTTGCCACACTGACCGAAGCCGTTTTTGTGGGTTGCATGTAGTGAAAGGCTTCCCTGGGGCTTCTTTGCTTCCTTGAGGACCTGCACGTCCTATATTTGTTAGTTGCTTTTTATTCGTCCCATGATCAATGTGTTCCCTGAGTGGGGCGAGAGGTGTTGGCCTTGCAAATTGGACAGTCTTGGGGTCCGAGGTTGCGCTCTGCGCTTTGGCGGCATGCGGGAGGCTGGCCCTGTCCTTCATCCCGGCCTCGCCCATGAGATCCGCCCAGACCGTCCGCCGGTCCTCGGTGGCGCGGGCAGCATCTATGAGAGATAGCGAGGGCAACAAGGCCCGGGCTTCCGTGTTGGTCTTCAGAGTGCGCGAGCCGATCAGGTGTCTCAAACTCTCGGAATCCGGAACTCCTCGATTTTTGTTGTGTGTGCGCAGCGCTAGGGTCGGCATGGTTGAAAATAGGAGCATAGTCCGCAGGTTTCACGTGAGAAACATTTACTGGACCCGCGGAATCGGCCTGCCGTCTGGAGAGGTCCGGGAGCCCAAGACCTTCGATGCCTCGGACGCCTCCAGCATCTCCAACTCCCTCACCGTGGAGTACAAGAAGCGACCCTTCGGGGTCTTGTCCTATGCGCCCAGCACCAGCGGCAAGGGCGCCATGATCTGGAAGATGCTCGAGGAGTCCAGGCCGGAGTGCGGCGCGCGTATTTTTTCCAGGCAAGCAGCCTTCTTATGCTTTGTCGCGAGTGCAGGCAAGCTGTTGGCCGAGGTGAGATGCACAGTGGGTCTTGACAAGAGCAGCACTTGCCAACTTTGACCGCGCGCAAATCTGACATGCATCCCATGCGCAGGTACCCCGGTGATCCGCAGGGCCAGGCCTTCGTCGGGGGCGCCAAGCAGTTCATGGCGATTAAGAAGGTGGCCGGTGTTGATGCTGCTTGGCTCGAGAAGGCGTTTTTGCCTGCTCCATAGTATCAGAATGCGATATCCCGGGCTTCTTGATGAGGTTTCGACGGAGGTCCATCTGCATTTCTTCAGCGTTTTGTGCGCCCAGCGGTTTGGATAAGCATAGCCGAGCAAGGTTCAGCCTGATTTGCCCAAAGTTTGGAGGGAACAAAAGTTGCCATATCAACATAGTCTTTTCCAGGTGTTTGAGTTTAAGTGCCGAAGGAGTTTTGGTCGACCATGTTTCCTAGGTCAGCGCCTGGGATTTCTGGGACATCATGGACCTGCTTGATGACAAGATCCTGGACAACTCCGCTGGCAACTTCCAGTCGAGCGGCAGCGGAAGTATGGGAAACAAGCCGACCGAGCTGCCGGTGACCCGCCCGAGTGTTGACGCAAAGGGGGACAAACTTGAACCGAATTGACCTCATGGCAAGCCCCGCCCTGGGGAAACAAACCCCAGAAAGAGGCTATTGCCCAAGGCAAGCTAGGCTGATCCATTTGCGGGGTCCCCTTGGGGGAGAAGCGCTCATGTGGCTGAAAAGAACTCACCGTGAGCGTGCTTTCAATCTACGAAGCTGCCAACTTCTGATTGTGGAAGTGTCAGAACTCACCTGGAATAATGCTTGCAATGCGTGCATTTTTTTTCTGGGGGGGGGGGGCGAATGGCCAACTTCAGATTTCAGCACGGGCACGGGAAGGGAAGTCAGCATCAATGCAACCATTGGCTTAATGACTCAATGCCACCTCAGCCAACAACTTCTTGGCCTTGGAGGTGTTTCATGATGACGTGGCGTTTCCGTGGAAAGCGTCCTAATTAGGCCTTACCCGGGTTCTTCGTGGATGGATTCGGTCGGCTTTGCGCGGCATGCAGTTAATGGCAGACGCCAGGCTGTTTTCCTCAGGGCTAGTCATTTGCCACAGTTTCGTTTTGCTCGAGAAAAACCATCTTGTCGTGACAGATCAAACATGGCACGACCTGCGGCAATTCCATCACCGGGTCACTTGCCTCGCTTGCTGTCCGGCCGCCAGGTGAGCATTGAGTACGCTGAGTTCACCCAAACCGCCGTTGATGCCGCTGCGGGCGTCGGTGCGGGCAGCATGGACGAGACAGTCGACCGGAGTGACAAGCGGTTCAAGGACTTGCCCCGCGACGCAACCGTCAAGGAGCAGCCCGGCAGGTTCAGGAGCATCAGCAACTGGTTGTTGGCATCAAGTCCCCTGCGTGGCGAGCCGAAACATACCAAAATGCCTGAGGTCTTGTTCTTGAACATGCAGTGGGACAAGGAGTAAGGCTTAGGATGGCACTAGCCGTTGGCAAGGCCTTTGGGGCAGTATGTGGAGGCGTATCTTGCACGTTGACGGAGGAACACGGGCTGCACACTATTTTTTCTGCTGACAGGGAGACGCTATCAACTGTCCTGCTCATGATCGGGACGCCCAAAAGCGAGTTTAAGCAGTCCACTGCATAGCGATCAACCTCCTTTGGACCAAGCCACAGGTTCGCAAGGTTGTTGTACTTCGTTATATAATGCAGGGCTATGCCTGACACCGTTGGACCTAGAAAAAGGGGGCTTGCTTTCTACATGGCTTTGAGCCCAGGTACAAGATCCCAGTGGCACCTCCGAGCTACACCAGCCAGGCGCGAGAGGACCAAAGTCTTGGGGCCTATCATATGTAGGCATTGCCTCGGCATGGAGATGCGGTCAAGCCTCCTTTGCCTTTGCCTTTTCATTCACTTGTATGGTTTTATGTGGCTGGGCCTGCTTATAGCAGACGCAGCTTTGAAGGCTGGCTGTTCAGAGTGATGCAACACTCAGAGGTTGACAACTTCTCATATTCGCGGGTATTCTGAGGCTTGACTTCGCATTGACAAGTCATAGGTACGCATGCCCAGCAAGAAGGCAACACAGCTCCAAACAGGCCTCAGACGGCAGTGTGAATTAGCCCTTTGTAACATCAAGCCGAAATCGCACACCAACTTGATACTTCAACATTGGCAAGCGTTTTGGACTTCCAAGCTGCTAACTCTCAGGCGAGCTTTATTCAATTTCTTGCGCTTGCACATTTTGCGGCAAGTGAAGCGGGCGCCGTGTCAGGTGGTGGAGACCTTGCGCGGCACCGTGGCATCCATGCCAGAGCCGGCGGGCCACAACGGCCCCCGCTATGCTGGCAAGGCGTCCCTGAACGAGGCTTCCATCCGGGCCATGCTGCAGAGCTTCAAGCGCTCCGGCGAGCCAAACGACTGAAAGTCCAAAGCGGCTGAGGGCGTAGCGGCGTAGCGGCGTAGCGCTTGTGTTCGTATGCTTTCTTGCCTGTGTTCGGTTGCAGTTGGGTTTGGCAAGTTGGGTTTGGCAAGTGTGCATGTCAACCTGTGCTTTGCGGCAGGCGAACTCACAGGCAATATGGAATGGCTGCAAGTGCTTGTCAGCCACTCCAAAGCTGAACAGGGGCAGACAAGCCGCCTCATGCCCTGGGTTGAAACTGGCCCGAGGAACGGCCAACTGCTGCCCATGAAAGATGCTTACCAGCTGGCAATCGATGCTTATGACATCCTGGTCAAAGAGAAGACCTTGGGCCGGGTGAACGTGCCGGTGGGCAAGAAGGTGGGGTGTGGGCCGGGCCGGGAGGAAGGTTTGCCCCGGTGCTCAAGAATCGAACAGGAACCAGGATAGTTGAAAGTAGTTGTTGCTTACTGCATAGACTTCTATAAGGCCGGGCTTAGTGGAGCGCTTGTCGAGCTTGAGCCATATAAAGCAGTGAGGGAAACCACATCTTGCTTTGGATGTTCAAGGCTTGCCCTGGCCTCGCAATGTGAGCCCTGCTGCACCCACAAACCCAGCTGATCGCCTAGGAGCTTGTTTTTCTTGGGCCGCTGAGGTGACAGTCGTGGGCGACATTCACGGCCAGCTCTATGACTTCGACCATATGCTGAGCCTGGCAGGTGCGCAGTGCTTTCAACATGCAAGGCATCCAGCATCCATCAGGTGAGATCAGGCCAATTTGTTGGACCCGATGTTTCACGCCCTCATGTCCACGCACCTGTTGCAAGGTTCGTCCCCTCTCTGCGGCGCGTTTCTGCTTTGGACACGGCACGGCAGACAAATGGGGGCCCTGCAGGCTTTCCCTCCCCAGACAACCAGTTCCTCTTCAACGGCGACTTCGTGGACCGTGGCCCCTGGAGTGCGGAGGCACCGGTAGCGGAAACTCACGTTGCGCACTGCGCGTTGGCATGGCGGCAAGGCACAGGCGCATGTAACATGATTCTGCGATCGAAAACGCGCAGCCTCGCCCTCGGGCCCTGCCAAGCATGTTGTTTCCCTGCCCAGTCACAACTTTTGACGACTCCCGAACCTTTAATAACGCGCCACTGAAGGCTTTTTCCATCCGAACCCCCAACACCAAAAGACCCAAGACCCCACAAAAAAGCAAAACAAAACATGAAACAACACCCAAAGCACCGCCCCAGAGACGCCGCAGAGACGCCGCAGAGACGCCCCAGAGACGCCCCAGAGACGCCCCAAAGCACCGCCCCGGAGACGCCCGCCACATCGAGCGCCGAGCCACGGCAGGTGATCTTCACCATCTTGGCCTTCAAGGTGTGGCAGCCAAACGGGGTCTACATGAACCGCGGCAACCACGAGGCGGAGATGGCCAACCACTTCTACGGCCCCTCAAAGAAGAGCTGGAGGGTGAAGACAACGGAGATATCCACTTGTATTTCTACATGTATATGGCATGTATATATATACATATATATATATATATGTATTTATACATATACATGTATGTATATATATATATATATATTAGGCCGTTTTGGTGGCAACATGTACGTTTCTGCTGATCTATGGGCTGACACCTTCAGATTTGAAGAAGCATTCGGCTATGTCATAGGCAATCCCTTTTTGTGACCTGTGATCAACAGGGAGATGACCCACCAGCTTGATTTCCCGCTTCACGGCATTGGCAGATGTCTACCAATATTGCACAACCGGCTCTAAACATACGACATACGCCCGGTTTCAGGCACTACGTTAAAATACGTTAAACCGGAGCATACCAGGTACAACACAGTTTTTGCATTTTGAGAAGACGAGCATTCTGGGGCCTGTGGCCAGCTGGGAGCGCCTCTTATCCGAGGCTTCTTCGGAGAGATCGAGGCAAAGTACGAGAAGCGCATGACGGATCTCTTCGCAGAGATCTTCCGGGCCACGCCTTTGTGCCACGTCATCAACAACGAGGCGGGGCGGGGAGGGGGCGGTTCGAGCGCAGGTCCAATGCAAGTCCTCGTCCTGTTGTGCTTTAGGTGCCTATGGTTGCCCATCAAGTGCGCCAAAATGGCAGTTGTGTACTGAGAAGATTTTGGTTGTGACCCTGTAAGCGCTGGCAGAAGCCACAATGTAAACCCGAAGTTGGGCTTTCCCCCCGCCTGGGGAAACACACACACAAACACGGACCCAGGTTTTGTCGGTTGAGACGCCCAAGGTGGGTGGGTCCGGCAGGTCTTTGTGGTGCACGGCGGCATTCCGGGCCCCGACCCCCGAGTGTGGTGGAAGGGCATGGACAACCAGATCAGCTTCGACGGGCGCCAGATCCAGATCAGCCTGGCGGCTCCTCGAACCGAAACAAGGCACTTGCCCTTCCTTGTGGCACGTGACGGGGGGGGGTCCCTTCAACGGGAAGTGCGATCTTCCAGGGTACCCACCCCAACCACAAGTTCTACATCAATTTGAGATTCAACTGGTGAAAAACAGTGTGGCACCTGTGAACCGAACATACGCTCCTGCAAGGGAAGGCCGCAACAAACATGTATGGCACATGCGGCATGTGTCGCGACGCCTCCAAACTTTTACGCAGAGGGCAGCCCATCTACTTTCGCTTCACTTGGTTTCTAGGGAATCCTGGCTGGTGATTTGAGGCATTTCCCTTTCACAGAGAACCGGATCATCGAATGAAGCTACAAATTCAGATACGCCTCCAAAATAGGGGGGAATTGCAACTTGGCACATGTCCCAAGCACGTAGACCAAATTCAGCGGACTCCCCACTGATAGTTCGAAGGTGTCCTTCGATAGGCTTGACCATTGCCCGCGGCGTGACGCCGTCATATCATCCGCGTAACCCTCGCTAAGGAGATCGAGAACTCCAATCGCTTTATGGAGCCCAACCCGGATGAGAACCCCTTGATGGTTGATCTTCTGTGGTCTGACCCCAAGGGCAAGGACGGCTATGGTCCTTCCGGCCGCATGTCTTCCGGCATCTATTTGCTGCTTGGCTTGAGATGAAGCCATCCATGGGTGGGAATCGCATTAGAAGAAGGCATGCATGGCAGGCGCGAGAGTCCCAATGCAGCCGAGGTTTGGCCCCGACGTCTCCCGGAACTTCATGCAGTTCAACGGCCTGCGGATGACTCTGAGGTCCCACGAAGTGAAGGCTCAGGGCTACCGCTACGACCACGACGGCGAGTTCCCCTTGATCACAGTCTTCTCCGCGCCCAATTATGCCGCCCGCAGCAAGTTTGCTCGCGAGCTTTGCCAGAAGTTCTGTTCAGAAGTTGAGGTGCGTCCCACCATGAGACCGTTGGAAGCACTGATTGCAGAATTCCTACAGGGTAAAGCTACCGAAGCAGTCTGAGGTTGCTTGCCTCACCGTATGCCAAACAAACACAGCGCTCTGCTTGCCCTGTGGGACTGAGGTGGACAAGGCCGGCAACATGGCCTCGGTGGCTGTGCTCACCAACGATGGCTCCAAGATGACCGGCCCGGAGTTCGTGCAGTACTCGGCCCAGCCGCACCCGGACGTCCCCTCTGGAGCCTATGCAGTGGGTGGCCCCCTCCACCCGGAGGGCAGCGGAGTGCCGGCCCGGTAATGTGCTTTTTTCTTTGTGCCAAAAGCCAACATGGAACCTGATAGTCGCAATCCAGGAGCATGCCAGAAACCCTTGGCTCCATGCTAGCTTTTGGAGAGTTTATTCCGTCGAAACGGCGGGCCTTGCGCTTGCGGCTTCTGCCGCGTGTGCTCACAGCAACCTATGCACGGTTTTCCTGACGCTTGCAAGCTTCCAGGTTTCAACTCAGATTTTTCCAAAGGGCAAGCAGCCCTAGCTATAGGCGACAGAGGACATGTCGCGGAAAACAACTGCTCCTGGAGCTTGCACTGGCCCGGAAGTCAGCGACAGAGCAAAAGCCATGGGATCTGGTCTCGCTGTTTGATCGCAGTCCTCGGTTTTCTTGAATCTTAATTGGTGGCCTACTGCATTCATTGAACGCCAAGTTGCTGATGCAGCCGGGGGTGCCCTTTGCCCGCACGGTGCGTCCTGGAACGACTGAGGAGTTGCAACTTTAACTGCGCAATCTAGTTAGGAGGTAGCGGGATACCAAAGTCAAAGTGTGAGATGGCATGGCTGATGTCGGTGTTTCTCAAAATTGTGGACCCCTGGAAGCAGTCCCAGGAAGGGTGCCAGAAGGAATAGATATACTGTACTTGGGAGTTGCCGAGCTGAGCATCGGTGCAGGTCAAGAGGGCCAACCCACGCGGGCGGCTGCGCTGGGCGGCTGTGGCTGCTGCCTGCTGATGCTGCTGCTGTCAGTAGGCAGGGAGTTGCGCAAAGCGCCGCGGGGTGTTTCTTGGGCCGGGCGCTCAATGCAGAGTTGCGGCTGCCATGTTTGGCTTGAGAGCTGCGCAGGCACACTGACTCCGCTGCAGTACGGGCTCACTGTGAACCTGATCACAAAACAGGTCAACCCCGATGTTGTGTACGAAGGAGCGGGTGGACTTGGAGAAAAAGCGGCTGCTGAGAAAGCCTGAAGATGCGTGTTGGAGCGTTCGCAATCCTACAAACTAGTGCGCAAGAACAATACGCCAAGACACCCTTTAAACAGTTTCTCCAGACCACGTCTCCACTTGGAACATGTATTGGAACATTTTTTTGGGTTCTGTGACTGTGAGGTGAGGTCCCCCTGACAACTGTTCCTGCAAACCAACTACGGATTGAATAGTCTATGCCGTCTATGGCCATAGTAGTAAAACACCCTAGAATAATTCAACACATATTTCTGGGGTGGACCAACGTGGTCCACCTGTTCAGGGTGGGCCCGTGGGAAAGCCTTTCGCTTGGCTTGCCCCTTGCCTTGGCCCTTCTCGCAGGGGTACATGTCCCTTTCTTGGTAGTGCTTGGCATCGCGTCTGCTTTTGAGGCAAGTTGTCCTTAGCAGGGGGTGATGTTCTCAGGTTGGAAATGTGGCCAGAAGTTTCAATGCCTCAAAAGCCAAGCGGGTGAATCCCCAGCTAAATGATGCCCACATTAAAAGTCGCACCCAGGGAAACAGCGTTTCAGGAGGCCGACATTTCATCGGCCCCTGGAAGAGCTTCCTTGCCTTCCCTTCCACCCGGGTGACGGTGCTGCCCGGCTGAAATGAGCCAAGGGCACGGTGTGCAAAATTCAAATGCCATGTCAGGAGCCCTTGTTCGCTTCAGTATTGCAGCATGTTTCAGTAGCACCTTGCAAACACGACACGAATTGCGAAGTCAGGGTTTCACAAGGCTTATTGTGCTTTTGATTGGTGATGTGAAGGCTGAACTTATTCGAAACACGACGCAGCCCTCCAATCGTGCAACGCCCCACTCCAGGCCACAGAACCTCAAGGTTCGGCGCAAGTCATGAATTTGCGAAAACAGCTACGTCACATTCGCAAGTGTTCCCAACAACTGGCCCATGCGACAGATTTGAGACGCTCCCGAGGTCCTTCGACAACAAACAGGGCTCCTATGGGCCTCTGCAGACGCGGACGAAGGACGGCCTTGCCCTCACGCTGCAGTTGGCCTTCCAGTACAGGAGCCTGCAGGGCTGTACAGTGTCAGGGGCAGCAAAATTAGTGGAGGGAAACGAACCAGGACTGTCCAGGACAGTTTCAGAGGCAGTGTCAATCCAAAATATTTGGGAGACCCGCACTTCCACCTGAGGGCTCCCGCTTTGGGGCGAACAAAGCAATCAAGAACCCTCCGAGCGCACCCGATGCGAGACGGCAGGATTTAAAGGTTGAAGCCGCTTCCTCGAAGCAGCGCTTCTTTTTTCTTTCTTTTTTGTTTTTACACAATGCTGCCGTCATGAAGACTCCATAGCTGCAGTCCTGCCATGGAAGGGACTACACAAACGCAGCATTTTACAGATTGCTATTAGCGGTTTCCAAACATGTGTCTTTTGACGTGCTTGACTTCAAATGTTCTCATTGTTGATCCGTGTGTAGCAAATTTGGGGACAATACAGGCAATTCAGGTTTGCTTTTCCATGAGCGGAGCTCTGACGAAACCGGGCAGAGCAAAAAATATGGCGTAAGCATTTTCATCATTATCAGCCTTTCACCAAACGCAGTGTACACTAGCGTGATGCTGGGAGCGCCCTGAAGCTGGGTGGAGTCTCCGGAATAAACTGCATGCGCTCTGTTTCTGGCAGGCGGTGCATTCACACGACTAAAGCAGGCTGAACCTGCTTGCATTTGGTGAGGATCAACAAGGATAAATTGAGAAAGCTCTTTGCACTTGCCAATCAGCAGTACGAGCCTCTCTTTGTGCGCAATGCCCGTGCGCGGCTCAGACGATTGTCAACCGGTTAGCTTCTTGCCCATGTCTCAGTACCTTTCTACAATTAGGAACGTCTTCTGTGAAGGCTCTGGAAACCTTTCCTGGAAGTCCTTTCATTTTTGCCGCATTCGGACCGTGCTGTTGGACTGAGGGTATTTTTCAAGACTGGATGAATGGGAAATCGAGAGGACAACCATTGTTTTGGCGGTCCCCCCTAACTAGTGACACATAGCCAGATGTCACTCGAGCCTTTCGCACGGGCCTGAGGTGACGTGTTGCTCAAGGCAGCGGCAGACTACGAGGCATACCAGCTGCCTGGCTGAAGTCCCATGAAGCTTGCGGTCCCTTGCGCGGCACGCATCTTTTTCGTTTTTCTTGCTGGCATTCCAGGTACTGGCTGGAAAGAGAGAAGATTGGACAAGAGATGAAGGAGACATTAGATTTACGACTAGCGCAGGCAGGGTGCATCAGTGTTGGGGCCTTCCATCGAAATTACTGAATCTGTGTTACTTGCACGCTCGCTGCACGCTTTTTCACGTGGCATTGGGACAGCCTGCGATGTCGCAGTTGTGTTTGCGACTCCTGGTTGGCACCGCAGCTGAAGGTCTACGCAAACTGCGGCGGGCTGCAGATCATGGTGATTGACTTGCCGCCGGAGTTTGAGACTTCCATTGTGCAAACGCAGGCTGGTCCTTGCAACTCACTTTGAACAGGCGCCATGGGTGCAAGTGTCTCCAATGGCAAGGTCATGGAGCAAATGCAGCAGACCAAGCAGCTTGGGGAGCATTCGGTGAGACTTGCCGGCTGCGATGTTCAACTGTCACTCCAAGGCCATTATGAGCCAAGAGCATGAAAAGAAACCATCATCCTGAGGGGGCCCTCACAGAACAAGCCTTTTCAGAGCAACACTTACCAGTCTTGGTGCCAATTTTGCTGAGGCAGAACGAGCAGCAAGCGAGCAGGATCGAGGCTGACACGGACGTCCTGAACTCGACGTATACCAGGACTGCCGCAATGCGCGGCTTTGCCCGCTGCATTGTGTCAGCGGTGATTCGACATACCGTGGCAGCGCTGTAGCAACTAGAGATTATGGGCGTGGTGAGGCAGCATTGAAATTTTATTTTCGAAAAGAACGCAGGGGAAACCGGTTGTTTTGAGACAACTTTTGCTTTGCCAGGAACGTTACCATCACGCGCAATGGCGCCGACGCGCTTTTTACTCAGGCCATCCTGCTGCGCAGAGCGAAGGAATAGCATTGTAATTGCTGAAGCATGGCTCACTTTGCAGATGAAGTCTTGTTTTCCTGTCTGAAATCACGCAGCCCTAAAATGCCAGCAAGAGCACTGCCAGATTGTCGATGCCGGCTTTCCACGATGCCCTCAGTTCAACAACAAAATAAACGCACACACTGGAAAATTCCCACCAGTGAGATCACTCGTGAGTTCCACTCAGTTGCCCGCTCCGGTACGTTGGTGCGGGGCTGCCGTCTGCCGTCGCGTCATCCTCCAGGCGCTGGGCATTGCAAAGGCCAAGGCTCAGCAGAAGCTGCTGGCGGTGGAGGCCAGCACCATGAAGAAGGCAGGGGACCACGCTTCTCGCGGATCGCCGCTCGGGTCGCCTCTCGGTGGGTTTTGCCTCTCAAGGTTGCGTGCAAAAGGGGGTTCCAAGAGGCGTGATCTCTGGTGGTTGGAAGCTAAGCTGTGGTGGTGGTGGTAGACTTGCAGTTTGTGTGTTTTTCTCGAGTAGTTAGCCGTGGTTGCAGGAAATTAGGATGCCTTCCACAAGTGTGACACTCCAGTAAGCCCTTCCCCTTAGTTATTTGCGGAGGCTCCACCCCCACCTTCGATTCTCAGCGTTTGCAGGAAATATGATTCTCAGACAAGCTGGCCCCATCCAGCAGAGTGTCAGTCCATAGTCTTGAGACTCAACATTTTTCGAGCCGCCTCTTGGGAATGCTCGTCACAGATTTGAGCGGGCGACATGTTCAGTCCATTTGCTGAGCAACTCCTTTGTTTTTCTTGCGGTTTGCATTCGCGCGGTGTGCAGTCACAGGTGCAGAATCAGTTGAAGCTGACGCCTGAGCAGCGGCTTGCCCGAGATGGTTTGCAAGTGGAGTCGCGACGGGCCTGCTTGTCAGGTTTTAACATTTGAGAGGGCGAGGCACTTTTCAACTCCTGACTCTGCTGGCAGTTCGAGGATGGTTGCCTATCAGCAGTTCATGTCCTACCACTCCATGATGAATGCGTCCTTTGTGCAGCCTTGCCTGCAATACGTGTCGGGTGTGTTGCTTTGGTCACCGAAGATGTTGTCTATTTGCCTTTTCGTTGGGACTTTTGCTTGCCTAGAATCTCTTCGGGTGGGTGCGCTGGGGCATGCTGCAGGTTTGGTCTCGGAAATGCTTTGGTCACGCTGCCCAACAACGTTTAGCAGGAGCGCTTGCCGATGGCTGCCGCGCTGGAACCGCGAAGCGTCATTAGCACTTGTTGGGCGAAGCCCTCAAAGAAGACATAGCGGGTGAGAATTATGATGTTTTTTTTTTTCCCTCCTGTGCGCCCAACCAAACAGTTCATGACTCCTGGTTTTGCCCAATTCTGCACCATTTGATTTGCAGAGACCTCCCCCACAAGGGCAACCCATTTGGCTTGGCTGGCCTTTCAGGGTGCAAGCCCAGGCTTCGTCCGGTCCGAAGGCGTTCTTCGGAGAAAGGCGTAGGCCAAAAGAGGATCGGCAAGAGAGACTCACGAATCTTGCCTTCGCCCATTTCCAAAACATGATCTTGGATCACGAGCCAGGCCACGTCCAGCCGTAGATCCCCTTTTTCCGTGGAAGCCCGGCTCAAGCCGTAGACTGTTGCCGCGCGGCCTCTTGAAGCCGGAGGCTCATGGCGGATGGCGAGGAAACGGGTCAGCTGAAGGCGGGTCTGGCCTTTGAAGGGCACTCTGCGCCGGAAGGTCGGGGGGGGAATTTGAATCTGGGCGTGGCTCAAAATGCAACACACTGGGGTTACGCAGCTTTTGGTCCACCTTGCTATTTCCCAGGGTGGACACTTTTGGACCCCGAACCCACCATTTTTGAGCCACGAACCCCGCATTCTTGAGCCGCACACCATCGGTTTTTCAGGAAATCTTCCAAAAGTGGGACCGAGATGGCAGCGGGGACATCTCCGTGGCGGAGCTCACCCGGGTCCTCACCAAGCTGCGCCTGGCGGAGAATGTTTTTCTTGCCCCGCCCTGTTTCACCGAAGAAAAACTAGCCTCACCCACGAAGTATGTGTTATATGTTGTATATATATATACATGTTGATTGATACACGGTGTATATATATATATATATACATATATATATATATATAACTGCGGGGGTAGTTGTTCATGAGGCCATTGGACACTTGTTAATGGGGCTTGAAGACTTGTAAGTTCCATGTTGGGTTCTGAAGGCAACACGTCTAAGAACAGCAAGCGTCACTGGGCTGGTGTGCTTGGGAGAGCAAGTTTCGAAGCTGCGAGCTTGCCGAGGAACCCCCAGCTGGACGAAGCCGGCTGCCAGAAGATGCTCCCCGCCGAGAGTTTGGTTTTCGACTGGGCGTAAGCCCTTGACGCCGCAGAAAGGGGGAAGAGAAGCTCCTCCATGAACCAGCTGTCTTGCTTTGCTGCCAGGGAGAGAACGGGTAGACCAGCGTTTTTTCCAGAGTGAACGGCCAAGGGTCGCCTTCTTTGGCCCAAGCAAGCGTGTGATGTGCCACAGGTTCAGCCAAATGGATGTCAACAGTGATGGCAGCGTACAGTATGGGGAGTTCATCGAATCTTGGAAAGCGAGATCGTGGCGTGAGTTTGCCCCAGCGCACCCTGTGCCAATATAAGACGCCCTGAGCCGCTTAGCCCTGGTGCATCTTGCTGTCGCGGCTAAGAACTGGCTTACTGGGAAGGACGGTTCCTACCAAGGAGCCAAGGCAAACTGTGGTGTCGCACATGATTTGTCACCTGCAAGTGAGCACCAGCGGTACCATGGCCGCTTTGTTGAGCACTCTTTTAGTCGAACCTGATGGTGATGTCAGCAGGCATTCCTTCTGCCTCTTTTCTGTGCCAGGCTGCCATCATGATGGACCAGAAGCGGGCAGGCGGCAAAGGTGCGGACGCTGCCCGGAAGGCAAAGCTCAGAGCCAAGTACGCCAAGCGCCCTGGCAGCGCTTGCAATCCCAGCCTTGTCCACAAATCCAATAGGAGAAGGGGTCAATTGTTTCATTTCACAACAAATTACTCAGGCGCAACTGGTGCCATGCACAACATGGCTTCGGTGCAAGTGGGGTTTGGGATGGAAATGCGTTGGCTGTGTTTCACCTGGCAGTGAGGCTGGACAAGAATGGCGATGGGAAGCTCCTTGACATGATTAAGTCCGCCTCAAAATGGCTGAGGTCTGTTCTGATAGCCTTTGCAGGGAGGGTCCTGTGACTTGGCTGGGTTTGGCACTTGGGTGCCAGCTCAGGCTTGACTTCGTCGAAGTGTATGCCGCCCCGGCATGTTTGGCATGGGGCTTGGGGCCACCAACCGGTCACAAAGGAAAGCTTGCCGGCAAGGACTTTCTGCAAAAGAGGTATCCCAACATGACGCTGCCAGACTTGCGGTTGCTTGGCTGCAAGGCGGGAGATTAGAACATGATTGAAACCAAGGGCCCTGAAGATCAGGGTGTCGTCGCCCTGGGGCTTGGTACTTGGTAATGAAGCTGTCAGCTCAGCATCAACTGCGCTGAAGCGCCCGGCAGCTGACTTGTTAGATGTAGGTGCGAGCGACTTCATCCGCAAGATCACTGCAAAGTCCATGTTAGGGCGCCACATTCAGATATCCTTCCAGACCATGGCCCGGCTGGGTGACCGGTTTTCTGACTGCTTTCATTGCGTGTCACGCTTTGCGCGGTCTTGGCGCGAACGCTCTTGGCGCGAACGTGTTTGTGTGCGGTCTCGCACGTGCGCCCGCTTGAGTGCGTGAGTGCGTGAGTGCGTGCGTGCGTGCGTGCGTGAGTGAGTGAGTGAGTGAGTGAGTGCGGGAGTTTTGTATGTGTGTGTGTGTGTGTCTTGCGCGCAGCTCAGGCCAGGTCGGAATTCGGCAAGTCCGGGTGTTTGAAGCAAGCTGTCACCTGGACCTGCGTCACAGAGGCAGGCCGGCAAACATGTCATTCCATGTTTGGCGCGAGGGCTTTGTAAAACGTAGCGAAAGCGGGGCAGGATTTCGATCGCCAACAGCTCAGCAATGATTTGCCCCGTTAGCCCTGTCAGCAACCAACTCATCAGCCTTCGTTCGTTGGCGTGCGTTCGGTCGTTCCCCGCCAGCTTGCGAGCGACTCAAGCATCATTCCGGAAAGTAGTGCAACTTGCCAACCCTTCAGGAACTCCAGCGGCTAGTGGCTGAACAGAGTAGTTTCTACACACCCGTCTAATTTAGATTCCGAGAAAGCGGACCCATTTCGAGCTTCATGTGAGGCGAGGGTGAAGCTGAAAGCTGCGGTTTCTACGCGATTTTGCAGTGCTCAATGTGACATTCAACGTAAGTGGTTCATGTAGTGTTTCCATCATGTTTGCAACCAAGGGCTCTGAAACAACCAATGTTAGATGGGGCTTGGCGAGGGTTTGGTAAACCATATTAGTGAACCCGGTGCGGGATTTCATCCGTCAACAGTATGATATGGATCGATGAGTAAAGTCCACGGTGTCACCAGTCGCCTTGCAACCAATGCCCGAGGTTTCTGTACAATTGCGCCTGGCCTGAGAGACTAGGCGTGTTACAATGTGCCACGCATCATGCCAACTTGCTGCTTGCTCGTGGTTCTAGCACATGGCCTAAGGTGCTGATAAGAGCCACGATGGCATTTTAGACTTCTATGAGCTCTTGGATCCTTGGGCAGCAGTGTTGGCCGAAGCACGCGTGTCAGGTGGCCATCGAAAAGGGGAAGCCAATGAAAATCATGGGTCGATGGCCATTGCTTGATCCAGAACCGAACTTGACACGCTCTTCACTCATCTTGTAGCCCCTTGTTCCAAGTTTTGACCGTAAAACCCATGTTTCTGTGCCAGGATGTCATGATGTCGGTGCCAGCGCAGAAGGCGGACCCAAAGGCCAAGGCCGCCAAGCCAACACAGCATCCGCTGCTAAGCCGCTATGAGTGCTTTTGGCTCCCGATCGCTTTCTTTACCCATTCCTGACGGAATCCTGAGTGGTTGGCACTGACTGCATTTCAAGATTCACACATTCTCTCCAACAGTGGGGGGCTAAGCTGTCGTAGACTGATTTTGCGCATATACCAACCCAGGTTGTCGATGGCAATCATGCGCAAAGACGCAAGGTGCGAGGAATCGGGCGTTCAACGTGTTGAGCCTTTATGGCTTGGAACGTTTGGATGGGTTAAATGCACTTGGATGCGGTTGGACGGTTGGCAGCTTGCAGTGTTGGGCCTGTCAGGGATGATATCGAAGCAGCCCTGGCTAAAGAGAACCAGGATCACGAAGAGTGGCTGAAGACGCCCGGAAGCATCTTATATCTTGCAGCAATGCTGGAGCGATTGGCATGTTTGCTGTTGGAACATAATTGTTGTTTTGCCACTCCCATGCCCCAATTTCGCTGCGACAGTCTTGCAGGATCCGAATTCAATCTGGCTGAGCGTGTCGGCACTGTGGGGCCCAGAGGTGTGGCGGTGTGGCTAAGGAAGGTCAACGAGATGTCCGAAATGATGCAAGGCTTCAAGGATGAGGAGAAGAGGCCCGGTCCCGGAGTGCCGCTTTCTGTTGGCCGAAGAAGCCGGGGGAAGGTGAAGGGGCGAAGCCTTGGTGGCCCATGTGTCTACCAGTTGTCATTTGTGGCTCGTAGAGCTGGAGCGTAACTCGCCATGAGCTGAGGCACAAGGAGTTCCGGGATGCACACGCGAAGGCGCCTTCTTGCCTGGTTGGTCCTTGTGGCTTTTGGGCTTTGTGAGAGGTGATGCGGGAACACTATGCCAAGACTGGGCAGTTGGCAATTTGAAACGGGCAGACGCTTACAATGGCGGTTTGCTTATGAGCTGGTTCCCTCAAAGGGGGACCCGGAATAGGGTGCAAATGTGGCGCTGCACGTCTAAGACGTGTGCGTCCGATTCCAATCTTGTACGCTATCAGGCGACAGGTCCGGCATGACACAAGCTTGCGGGACTTCTTCGGTCAGTGCGGATTGGAGGATGGTGGTTCTCAGGCTCCATTGGAGCACTGAAGCCTTCAGCTGTTTGCCAGGAAGAAGTGGCCCATCGAGTTTGTTGTTGAAGGGGTGAGCAGTTCAATTTGACATCTCGAGTCCTACAGTCATTTTGCCGACTTTTTACTTGATATTGATATCTGAAGATAAGGCAGGTGATAGCAGGCTGAAGAACTGCACTCACGCACTGATTTAGTCAGAGTCAAGTTGCCCATCAACTCTCTAGCATCCAATGTCTGGACGCAACAGCAGCGAGAGAGAGAGAGAGAGATCTTTGTAAGCGTAAGCCAAGGCTTGCTCAAATCTTTTTGGCTCCAGCAGTGGCAATGTTGGAAGCGAGGTGGCAAAGTACTTTAGTGCCCCCAGTGGCCGTTTGACATCAGATCTCGAGCACTCATCATCGCTTTGGCAGGCATCTCCCCTCGAAGGAGCGAGCACCAACAGTTAGCTCGGGCCACTTTGAGCCCTGAGCAAGAGCACGCGCGCCAGCAAGAAAGCCGTCGACCTGAGGGCCATGCCTACGGGTTGCGGCCTCAACGTGGCCCAGACCCAGTGGCGGGTCCTTGGCTCTTTGCTTCCCTCAGTTCAAAGGAGAGCCTCACTGGCAATGCAAAGGAGCGGCCCGCCACGGACCCAAGATGACCCTTGGAGCCAGTCTGGGCAGCTTGGCACATTGGGCGTGTCTTTTTGTGGGTATCTACCTCTGTTTGGAGTGGTCCTTGCGACCAGGACCCGTGAAGGAAACCTCCCGTAATGCAACTGGCGGCTGGCGGTGACACACAGAGAAGAGGTGGGAGAAACTTGCCTCGGCAAAGTTCTATGACATGTTTACCCAGAAGGACTACTCACATCCATGTTGTGGAGGGAGGGAAGTTGATGGACCGTCACGCAAACACACCCTCAGATCACACCTCGGTGGTGCTATGTATCACCGTTTTCGGGGGAGTCGTGTAGACCAAGCACCTGAAGAATCACGGCCCCAACTTGCCAAAGCAGGGGGAAGGCTGCAGCGGGTGGTTGCTGTCGCCTCGAGGTATCGGCGTTGTCTCAGAAATACCCCAGCCGGCGGCACTGCGCTGAGTCGGAGTCGACAGATGGCAGGGACGTCAAAGGCGCACGGGCTGAGGTCATGGCCCTGGAGGAGACTGAAGGCCCAAATCTGAGTTTGTTCTTCGAGACGCCCTTTCAGACCAACCTCGTGAGCTCCCTGTAAGTCAGCCGCAAGATGTATTTTCGGTGTGGACTTCTGGAATGGCCTCGTGTTGCTTCAGGCCTGGAGGCCGGCCAGAGGTCTGAACACGTGGATGTCAGCGAGGACCTTGAAATTGCCCTCATTGCGGAAATGAGTTCCTGCCAGCGCGCCAGCCTTGTGCCTGTTTGATGCTCATTGCGGATTTTCAGCCGAACATGGCTCATTTCATCCCCGCTTCCCCTACCAGACGGGGCCCGCGGCTTTGCAGCTGGTCCGTGGAAAATGCAAAGCGGGCGCCAGGATGTGTACCCCCGCTGCATCGTGTGGACGCCCATTCCGGGATGCACGTGGTGCTTCCCCTTCATAGGCGCGCGAAAGAGTCGTTTTCAGCTGGGCAAGTTGTCGATGAGCTCCCCGGCAGAGCGGCTTCAGCTGGGTTTGGTTACTGAAGGAAAGGCTGAAAAACGCAGCGGAGACGGGAGATTGCCCTGTTTTCGAGCGGCCCTGAAAGAGACATCCAGGAGTGCCAAAAGTTGCACAGGCGGGTTTGAGGCAAGCTTTGTACATGCCATACCAGATGTGGTGCTGAAGACGTGACCATGTGCAACGTCCGATCTGCAGACACAGTCTGTCATCCCTGGCTACGTGGGCCTTTTGTCCCGTTCCTCCAACGCACGTGAGGAACATCCCGAAGCAAGCACTCCCAGCAAGGAATGTCAAGTGGCAAAGTCTTGCAATCCCTTTCTTACTCGCCTGATTTCAGTAGCTAGCGCCTTAGTGTGTGACCGTTAAGGTTCACGAACGCCCTTTGTAGCTCGCAGGTCATATGGGCATCGGCACTGAAAGCGGCCAGGCCTGAACAGACGACTGATGGCTCTGGCTTTGCCATTACATGTGCCGGACGTGCGGCAGGTCATGGAGTTCATGGGCTTTGGTGCCACCAAGGCGCCCAAAGGCAGGGATTCGGCCGGAGTTATCGCACACCAAAAAAAAAACGTTTTGAGGCGGCCTGTCCTTCGGACCGGTGTGCTGGTGCCCGAGTGTGCCCAAGGGTTGCTTTCAGGTTGGCGCTTCGAAGCTGCAAGGTTGCCAGGTCTCAGAGTTGAATGGGGGCTGCTCTTTGTATTTCCCCCTTGCACAGCTGAGCTCAATGCCACACCCCGGCCTTCTGCTTGAATTCACTTTGCGGCACCCAGGTCGCTACGTGCAATTGAGTGCCAGAGGAGTGCGGAGAGGGACGTGAGATCCCTAGCTGTTCAGGTGCTGTGGACGCACACACGGTGCGTGACTCGTTTCCCTGTCCGACTGCTTCCGGCATGAGGTGGGACGATGCCATCCGAGCGGCAGCGGCCAAGGCGGAAGAAGCTCTGGGGCACTCGTTGGCTCAGGGCCTTTGCTCTTTTTGCGTTGGGTTTCTGATGTGGGCGTGAGTTTTGCCCTCACCTGGCGCGCTTATGGGAGATGTTTGGAGGTTCTGCCGGTCCAAAGGGCGCCAGGCCATTTTCATGTGAGCGGTGCGGGCTCGCAGCCAGGCATCCGGCCGCCCTCATGGAGCTTGCATCTCCAACTGCCCTTGGCCTCGAGCGACGTAGTTTGCACTGCTTCGCAGTTCGGTCTGCCGGGATAGGTCAGGTTTTCGGATGCCTTGACCGGATTCTGATCGCCGAACTGAGGCCATTCGTTCGTGGCCGACTGCCTGCATGAAATGAGGCGACCAGCCGAAATGAGTGGCCACCCACCGTTTTGCCCTAGCAACAATGAGTGTAAAAGCCTTCTCTGCTGCTGCACAGGAAGCACAGCTTCTTGAACACGTCATCAGGTACGGAGGAGTGCCATGCTGGAACTGGTTGCGCCTTGGCACAAAGGATCACTCATATGTTCGCTCACTCCGTTGCTGAGCATGTAACGCACGTTCTAGCATGTTGCCAGCCCCATATGTGTTGAGCCAATGCTTTTTCCAGCAGTCGGGTCTTCAGCCAGCCTTTCATTTGACACCAAGAAGGGGGATACAGGTAGCACGCTTGTCCCAGCTGGCTGAAATTGGATGCGGGCAGTTCGGGTAGGAAAAGCCTCGTTGCCACGTGGTACAGGTCCTACACCCTGGCCATTTGGGTGTTCTTCCTGGCGCGGGCCTTTGGTTTTAATCACCCTTCGGCCTGTGTGGCAGTTGAAGCCCCTTCCTTGTCAGACTTTTCATGGACCTTCCGGGGTTTCCAACTGTTCAGTGTAATCTTTACCAGTTTTGCCAACAAAACTGACAACTGCAGCCCATCGGAGCGAGCGCATCTGTTCATCGCAGGGCCGGTTCACAACCTGCCCACGGACCACGGTCGAGACCCCAGGCCTGAAAAGCCACAAGCCACGAGGGCCTAGCTGCCCAGCTGTTGCGCGGTCCGGTGCATCTGGCTCACAGAGGGCGAAGGCGAATTTCCGGATTTCTGGTCCTCGGAAATGGGGTCGTTTCGGACCAAATTTTTGGGCAAAAGACGTGTCTCTCACTTTCAAGGGATCGCTCCAGTTGAGGAAGGGGCCTGTGAGATCGGAGAAGCCCACACTGCCTGCCATGTTGGCCGTGGATGGCATCGCGGGACACATTTGCCAGGTGGGACGGACGCAGTCTGCATTGCATCCTGTACCCTGAGCTGATCCTGAGCTGATTTTGACTGGAGGTCTCAAGGCAAACTGACCCAAGAAGCTTAGAAGCTTTGGTTTAACCCGTCAACATCTTCACTCAAGCCGCAGAACAACTTGTGGGAACCTGTCAGGTGCGGTGGGCGGGGCCCTGGACGGCATGGGAGCTCAAGGAGGCCATTGCGATACACAGCGCCATCCCCGCGGAGGAGCAGCGGCTCTTGGTGGGCCCTCCGGAAGGAAGACTCGCGATGGGGAATGGGCGAGTCCGGGTTCTGGGTTTTGGGAAGGAACCTGGGGGTTGCCTTAAAGAAGGCCATGGTTTGGGAATGAATGGGGCTTTGCTTGAAGGAAGCCATAGAGGATGGGCCAGAGGGGGTCATTCCAACTCATTGCCTGCTGAGAACCAGCAAGACGGGATGAGTCGGTGGCACCCCGAAACTGGCAATGTCCAACTCGCATGGCTGGGTTGGGTGAATTGATCAATTTGGACAGCCAATTTCTCACTGAGCCCTGGTGTTAGATATTAGATGGCTGCGGGTGAGCAGTTTCTCTGAGGCTACTCGGAGTTGGAGGACTCTGAGGTGCTGACAGCTGCCCCCACCTCGCAGCTGACGCTTCTGCGCCGAAGCCCTGAGCAGGCCGGGCGCGGCCTTGGCATTGACATGCGGCCAAGCCAGATCTGAGGCGTTGCATGGTTGCACGCAGGACCGCTCCACAGACTCATGCCGAGGAGTGTCAACGCCATTTCAAACAGCTGTTGCCAAGTCCCAGCAAGCCGGTCTTTCAAGCAAGAATGTCCCCGACTTGACATATCTCCGGGTACCAACCAACAAAGCATCCTTCAAGACAGCACCAAGTTTTCTACAAACTCTGCCGAGGGAATCAAAAGGACAGCCGAATATGATGCCGAATATGATGCAAGAGTGCTTTTCGAGGTCCAATGCCAAAAAATCAAATTTCGGACCGCGCAATTCGTTTTTTCGCGCGTTTCCAAACATTTTGGAGGCGTCCCTGAAACAACCCCTTCCACCCACCACCCATTTGCCTTGTTTTTTTTGGGGCGTCAAATGACTCCAAGCGAGCCACTGGCAGCCACCATATCCTTTTTGGTTGTTTTGGTTGAAAAATAGGCGGCGATTCCCGGTTTACCTGGTGGTTTAATCATCTAGGGCCATCTATTTTTCTACCAAAACAACCAACAACGACGCCTAAAAGGACATCATTTTCCAACCTAAAAGGACCACCTATGCTGCAGCCACTGGGAACCGCCAGGCGCAGCTGCTGCGGCGGCTCCAGACCTGCCCCCCGCTGCGGGCGCTCACGGTGCTGCGCTGCGCGCCTCTGGCGCTGCGCGCAGACCGCGAGGTGAGGGGAGTGGTTGTTGCTGCTGGTGCTGCTTTTTTCTGTGTTGTTTTCTGTGGGACTTGAACTGATTTGGTTGATTTGATTTGAAAGATTGGTTGGGTTCGGATTTGGTTGATTGGTTGGTTCGGATTTGGTTGAAATGGTTTGGTCGATTGGTTGGTTCGGATTTGGCTGGTTCGGATTTGGTTGATTTGTTGGTTCGGATTTGGTTGATTTGATTTGGTTGATTGGCTGGTTCGGATTTGGTTGATTTGATTTGGTTGATTGGATTTGGTTGATTTGATTTGGTTGATTGGTTGGTTCGGATTTGGTTGATTTGATTTGGTTGATTGGTTGGTTCGGATTTGGTTGATTTGATTTGGTTGATTGGTTGGTTCGGATTTGGTTGATTTGATTTGGTTGATTGGTTGGTTCGAACTTGGTTGGGTTGGATTGGATTGGATTGGATTGGATTGGATTGGATTGGATTGGATTGGTTGGTTGGTTGGTTGATTGATTGGTTGGTTGGTTGGTTGGTTGGTTGGTTGGTTGGTTGGTTGATTGATTGATTGATTGATTGATTGATTGATTGATTGAGATTGATTTGATTGATTGATTGATTGATTGATTGATTGATTGATTGATTGATTGGATTGGATTGGATTGGAATGGATTGGATTGGATTGGATTGGATTGGATTGGATTGATTGATTTGATTGATTTGATTGATTGATTGGTTGGTTGGTTGGTGGTTGGTTGGTTGGTTGGTTGGTTGATTGATTTGATTGATTGATTGATTTGATTTGATTTGATTTGATTTGATTTGATTTGATTTGATTTGATTCGATTGATTTATTTATTTATTTGATTGATTGATTGATTTATTTATTTTGATTGATTGATTGATTGATTGATTGATTGATTGATTGATTGATTGATTGATTGATTGGTTGGTTGGTTGGTTGGTTGGTTGGTTGGTTGGTTGGTTGGTGGATGGATTGATTGATTGATTTGTTTTAATTATTGTGTATTTATTCACTTCTTGATTTTTTTTGATTCCTTCATTGATTGGTTGGTTGCTTGGTTGGTTGCCATTCAGCAGAACCTGCAACTCCTCAGTGTGCAGAACCCCAGCCACGCGCGTGCCGGGCCAGCAAGGCGATCAGTCAATTTGGTTGATTCTTCTTCTGAGATTTGTCATGTGGCTGTGGGTCAAAACAGGGTAACCCCAAAATAGAGCTCTGGTAAATAGAAGCATGGACTAAACTCTGCGGTCGCCTGGCGGTTTAAATTGCACCCATATCCATGTCGCAGTTGCATCTCTGACCATCAGAACATCGTCGGTGTCAGTTGCCCCGAGGTGGTGCTTTGCGCTGTGCAGAAGAGCGGGCTGGCGCTGCAGTTTGCAGCCGAATCCCTGCGGGCAGACAAGGTCGGAGGGGATCTTGCACCTTCACGTTGGTTTAGTACCTTTCGGAGTTTGTGAGAAACGCCCACAACCGCAGCAGCGCAGGGAAATTGCTGTGTGGGTGTGCCTGTTGGGGGAGAGCCCCAGGACACCTCACAGATGCGAATATTTTTTGAGCATTTGGTTTTTGCGCATGTTGGAAGGTTGATGTTGCAGAGATGGAAGTCCTCACAGTTGAAAGCGGACTTGAGTTTCTGACTGAGCATTCCAGTCTTGGATGAGCCTGCAAATGGATGGCATTCAATGCACAATGCCAGGATTCGCTTTCAACAGATTTCGGGGCTGCAGCCTTTTGTAGCTCGAAGCTGACATTTGTGACTCGACTCCCAAGTTCGTCCCTTTGCATCGTCGCCATGGTGCAGTGGGTCTACAACTTCGGCGCCGGTGCGGCAGATGGCCGTGCGGAGATGAAGAACCTGCTGGGCGGCAAGGGCGCGAACTTGGCGGAGATGGCGAGCATTGGCCTCCCGGTGCCGCCTGGCTTCACCTTGACCACGGAGGTGTGCACCCGCTTCTACGAGGACAAGTGCACGTACCCGGCGGAGTTGAAGGGCCAGGTGGCGAAAGCCCTGGCGTTGGTGGAGGAGCGCTCGGGCCAGAAGTTCGGAGATGCGACCAATCCCCTGCTGGTGTCGGTGCGCTCGGGCGCTCGAGCGTCCATGCCAGGCATGATGGACACGGTGCTGAACCTGGGTCTCAACGACCAGACGGTGGCGGCCTTGGCCAAGCGGTCTGGGGACCGGCGCTTTGCCTACGACAGCTACCGGCGCTTCGTGCAGATGTACTCGGATGTCGTGCTGGGCATTGAGCTCAGCCACTTCGAGAAGCTCCTGGAGCGCGCGAAGCAGCGGCGGGGCGTGAAGCAGGACCACGAGCTGGTGGTGGAGGATTTGGAGAAGCTGGTGATGGACTACAAGGCCCGCGTGCACGTGGAGATAGGCATGGACTTCCCCGAGGACCCTCACGAGCAGCTCTGGGGTGCCATCGGTGCTGTTTTCAACTCCTGGATGAACCAACGTGCTAAGACCTACCGGCAGTTGCACGACATCCCGGAGGCTTGGGGCACTGCGGTGAACGTGCAGGCAATGGTCTTCGGGAACATGGGCAGCGACTGTGCCACCGGCGTCGCCTTCACCCGCAACCCCTCCAACGGCACCAACGACTTCTACGGCGAGTTCCTGGTGAATGCCCAAGGCGAAGATGTGGTGGCTGGCATCCGAACCCCACAGGAGCTGACCATCCAGGCCCGCAAGTCTCATGGATCCGACTTGCCAAGCCTGGAAGAAGTGATGCCCAACATCTTCCGCGAGCTTTGCACCGTGCGCCAGCAACTGGAGACACACTACAAAGACATGCAGGACGAGGGGATAAGCTAGCATGAGAGGCTGACAAGGCTGACGGTCTCACAGCCGGTCGTCAAAGGCTGCTGATGAGCTTGTTATCTAGAGTCACACCAGGCCGAGGCTAACGACAGGCGGCTAATTTCAGGCTGACGGGTTCTGTGAGTTCTTTTGGCATGCTTGATGGTGAAGATCTTAGTTGGGGTTTCAAAGCCAGTGCAGGACATTGAGTTCACCATCCAGCAGAACAAGCTATACATGCTACAGACGCGGACCGGCAAGCGGACAGCACACGCAGCGCTGCAAATCGCTGTGGACATGGCCAATGAAGGCCATGGGACTCATGCATGCTCTAAGGAAGGCCCGTATCAAGGACCAACCAAATGCTAGATTGACCCTGCTTCTAAGTGTCCGTAGAAGTCAGTTTCCACTGGGGGTAGCGGGTTGGAGGTCCCTCATGCCATTGATTGGCCAATCGTAATCATTGATTGGTTTACTGTAATCCGGCTTTTGTATCCTTCGCAAGGATCATAAGCATCATACAAGACAAGAAGGGCAGGAATGACCCGCCATCAGTTCCAATCTGTCTACGTGTGAGACAGGGCAGAATGCAAACCTTCCGCTCTGCGCAGGTCTCATCTCCAAGTCGCAGGCTCTGATGCGCTTGAAGCCCGAGCTCATCGACCAGCTGCTGCACCCCACTTTGGACCCAAAGGCCAAGAAGCAGGTCATCGCCAAGGCGTGGAACCAACGGCGTTTTGTTTGCCTGCGCTGATGTGATTTGAGCCGCTTTGCGTCGTTTTGGATCGTGCTTTGGATGTGTTGCTCAGGGCCTCCCAGCTTCCCCCGGTGCAGCAGCAGGGAAGGTGGTCTTCTCCGCGGACGAGGCAAGGCTTGTTGATACCAGTGGTGCTTCTTTACACGTCCCCTCCGCGCTGGGATGGTGCTGCCTTGCTTCTTGTGACCACGCTGCACTGCCCAGGCGGTCCGCCGGGCCAAGGACGGTGAGAAGGTGCTGCTGGTGCGGATCGAGACCAGCCCGGACGACATCCACGGCCTGCACGCGGCAGAGGGTGTCCTGACCACCCGGGGCGGCATGACCAGCCACGCAGCTGTGGTGGCGCGGGGCATGGGCCGGCCCTGCGTGGCCGGGGCGGGTGCTGTGCAGGTGGACTATGCGGCAGCCCGGCTCAGTGTGGGGTCCGTTGCTGTGCAGGAGGGCCAGATCCTCACCATCGATGGCGTCACTGGGGAGGTGATCCTTGGGGAAGTGCCCACAGTGCCGCCGCAGATGTCGGGTGCCTTTGGCACCATCATGGCCTGGGCGGATGAGTACCGCACGCTGCAGGTGCGAGCGAATGCGGAGACGCCCAATGACGCCCGTCAGGCCAAGGAGTTCGGGGCGCAGGGCATCGGCCTGGTGCGTACGGAGCATATGTTTTTCGACGGCGGGCGTATCATCGCGATGAGAAGAATGATCTTGGCGGCAGACGAGGCGGACCGGAAGGCTGCACTGGAGGAGCTGTTGACCATGCAGCGCGAGGACATCACAGAGCTGTTCCGGATCATGGACGGGCGCCCGGTGACGGTGCGGCTGCTGGACCCGCCGCTGCACGAGTTCATCCCCCACACTGAGGCCGAGATGGCGCAGGTGGCCAAGGCCGCCGGCGTGCCGCTGAACCGGGTGCGGCGCCGCGCCACGGAGCTGCAAGAGGCGAATCCCATGTTGGGCCACCGGGGCTGCCGCCTGGCCATCACCTACCCCGAGATCTGCGAGATGCAGGCGCGGGCCATCTTCGAGGCGGCAGCCGCCGTGGGCAGGGCCGGCGGCGCCGTGCCGGTGGCTGAGGTCATGGTGCCGCTGGTGGCGACCCTGCAGGAGCTGAGCATTTTGAAGGAGGTGGTGGAGAAGACTGCCGCAGCCGTGCAGAAGGAGCAAGGCATGAACTTCACCTACCGTGTGGGCACCATGATCGAGCTGCCCCGGGCCTGCTTGCAAGCAGGCAAGTTGGCCGAGCAGGCTGAGTTCTTCAGTTTCGGCACCAACGACTTGACGCAGACCACCTACGGCATGAGCCGGGACGACGCAGGCGCCTTTCTACCTGAGTACAAGGCCAAGGGTATCGTGGAGCAGGACCCCTTCGTGAGTCTCGACCAGGAGGGCGTCGGCGAGCTGATCAAGGTGGCCGTGGAGCGCGGCCGCACAGCCCGAAACGGCATGAAGATGGGCATTTGCGGCGAGCATGGCGGCGACCCAGCCTCCATTGAGTTCTGCAACAAGGCACGGGGGTTCCTTGTCTCATGTGACCCAATGCACCATGCCTTGTGTGCCGGTTCAGGTGGGCCTGGACTACGTGAGCTGCTCGCCGTTCCGGGTGCCCGTGGCGCGGCTGGCGGCGGCGCAAGCGGCCCTGAAGCTGCGGGGCGAGAAGGCGCTGCAACCATCCACCAAGGCGGCCAAGCCACTGCAGCCCACCTTCGGCCCCTGGTGAGAGACGAGTTCGCCCCAAGAAGCGAGACGGGGCTTTGTGCAGTTTATTCATTTGCCATGACTGTAGGCATGTAGTCGTTCCATGCCAGGAACCAGCACTTGTCTGTAGCTGGCATGGGCTTTCTCATGTTTGCTGAGAGTCTGCACGCATGCGGACAGAAGCGGCGATTTTGCATTTTGCAGGCACTTGCCCTGGTCACAGACAGGGCTGGCTGCAAGGCCACACAACAGTGGTGGCAGATCTGCCCGAACTTTTAACCGGGCGGACATCTTGTAAGGCTTTAATGATTTAACTAACCCAGGGCCAAGAAGTCAACATCTTCAACCGTGCCCTGGGCCTTGGATCACTTATGTGGCAGCAGATTTGCACCGCGAGCATCGCGTCAGCGCCGAACAACTGAGCGCTGTTTGGCAGGTAAGGTTTTCAGTGGTCATCCCCGGGACTAGGTGCCAGTCTTGCATTTGATTGATGTTCAAGTGCCAAAAGTAACAGGCGTTGACGCAGTCCTCATGTCTTCTTCGTTCACCCGACACTGACAAACAGTCAAAGCATCTCTTTCTGCAGGCTTCAAGAGGTCTCAGCTTCTCAGGAGGTGGTGATGGCGGCTGTGTCTCAATGTGGCCGGGCATTGCAGCACGCGGCAGAGGAGCGGAAGCCGCAAACGCTGCCATGGGCCCCATGGGCATGGGCCCCATGGGCCATGGGCTGCGGATACCCACTGGAAGTGGGGCTGGGGGCGTTGGTTCCCTCTCAAACGTCCTGTTTAGCATAGATCAGAACCTTCTCACTAAGTGGGGTGAACATCCAAGCATGTAGCGTACCTGCGACTGAAGTTCAAGGACTTGCCTGAGCAAAGGGTCAGGGTTTTGCTGACCCACATCCTTTGAGCAAGCCCTACCTTTTTGCAGACAAAGTTCTGAAATAATGCTGCAACGCACTGGGGACCCTTCCTGGCGCTGTACCCAAAGCGGCATAATTCACCCAATTCCAATCAGGGGTGCAAACCTTACACCCATGGTTGTCGTGGAGACTGCCAAGAGTTGGGCCTCTTGCAATACAGCACGCTTGAATAATAGGTCATAGATGCATGGTTATCTTTGGGTTCTCTTAAATGTGATAGTTGCAGCCATGAGTTGGCTATCACATGTTATGCATTGGGTCCTTTTTTGTTTGGTATTTTTGTGTATGCAGTTTTGCCAGGGACCGTGGATGCTGCGTTGATTTTTTTAGCTCTACCAGTGTCGCTTAGCGGAGGTCGCTGTTTTCCAGTGTTCGCTCAACCTTGTTTTCCGGGTTCCCACGGTAGCCGTGTTTCCCAAGTGGTTTGACGAGCCCCGGGCTGGTCGGAGGAGCTGCGCGCGGACCGGGACCTGGTGCTGGCGGCGGTGC